CACTGCAAAGGCCCATGTCTGAGCTGTTAGGTGCCCTGACCTTGTCCACATAAAGATGTGATTTATGGAGTGCAGGCCACAGCAGCAGCGCTTCTGTCCTCTCCTGGAGAACCAAATTACAGAGGTGGAGATTAACATGCTTTCAGTCGGCCCATTTCCCGACCAAGGGAAATATTTTATTTACATTTTTTTACCCTTAATTTCCTCTCTCTCTCTCTCTTTTTTTTTTTTTTAAAAAAAAACACTACCTCATCAATAGATTTAAGAGAAAGGCAAACTATATAAAAAATACTCCAGTATCTCTCTCCAGAGCAAGTGGTGATGGGTTTCTATAAACATTCAGAGCCTTTGTGTCGATAGCCTTATACTGAGCTGGGAAGCTTTGTAGATCGACCCAGTGTCACAGAATGCAAGTTCAAGCTTGTGATACACTTGCCTGATTAAGCAGTATAAATAATGAATGTTCATGATGCCTGATACCTTGGTTTTTTTCCTGATCAATTTTTGTACCTAAGCATTATATTTCATTCACATCTTCTCAATGAACCAAGATTTAGGAGAAGAAATTGAACGTGTTAAGAATTTAGAAGAGTGGGAAGAGAAGGAAATTGGGAGAGGTATCATATAGGAATCCATGGACTGTCTGTTGACTCCTATAGACATGCTTATATTTTTTCTTATCCATGTCTCACTGCAGCATAGGTAAGGTTTGCCCATGTCCTGTTCTACCATGGAAAAGGAAGCATTGATTTTCTTTTTAAACACACATCAATATCTATACACGAAGCTAATTTAATTAGCAAGCAGTTATTGTTCAGCCAAATGTCAATTTCTCATATTATTTCGTGCTTCTTGACATGAACTGCACAAAGCAGGAGTTCCCAAGCAGTTTATGAAGGGAGCTGCATCTGAGGATTGTAAAGAGTGAGCTCGCATGTTCTTGAAAAGCAGCAGAAAAGCAGTGTGAAGAGAATAAAAAGCGTCAAGGTTAGAGTTCCTTGGATATTTAGCCACCTCAAGAAACCAAAACTGCAGAATTAAAGGAACTGTACTTAGGCTGGGGTTATAAAGTACCTTCCTCTATAAACTCAAAACATAATGTCAGGGTGAATGGGAGCATACTTTATTAACTTTATAGTATTGAAAACTGCCAGCAAGTTGTCTTGTTTTTAAATATTGTCCTCTGCAGAGTGTTACAGGGCTGTTTGTCCACAGGAAGCCCATTAAAAGTGGACAGTGCAGTCATTTCATCTGGCTTTCGCCGGACTGCTTTTCTTTCTTTTAATGATGTGCTGGCATGTACCATGGCCATAGGGTCTCCATTAGCAGGACTTTTACTTCTGGGACGACCGTGAAGTTTAAGGCTTAAAAGAGGCATCAGTTTACAGTCCTGTGGGAATCACTTGAATACTGGAGTGCTCACGTCTTACTGCTTTAACTAATATATTGGCTTATTTTAAATAAACAGTTACACAAGGAAGGCAGAACCCATGGCCTTATTGGAAATTCTGGGCTGCTTAAAGATTCTGCAGTCCCCACAACTTGGGGAGGAAGGAAAGGGCCTGAGGAGGGTTTATGCCCTTTTCAAACCAGGAAGAAAACACATTAACCTCTCCTACCCCAGCTCTGCATCAGCCAAAGCTGGATCTTAACAACTCCCAGAAAATCTACCCGCTGCTGCTCAAAGCTCCTGTTTTCCAAGGTCTTTCTCTTGGCAAATAGCAATTAAACGCAATAAAGAAGTGGGATTCTCCCCGCCCAATACCCTGAATTTAAAAGTAGGACTCCGTTTTAAGCATTTCTGATGAACTGTGGTTTTCTTCTGTCCCCAAAGCCCCACATTTGTTCTCTCATCCCATCTCCTTGATATTTAGATCATCTGTCCAGATACATGCTTGCAAATTAAAGCTGGTTTGAGATTATAGTAAAACCATTATTTTTAATAGCCCATTTCAAGGGCAGTGCTAAATTCTGCAGAACACGCATGTTCCTGATTACTGCAGAACAGACAGCAGCTTTTGCAGGGGCTTAATTTGTAACTGGGAACTACTGTAAACAGATTTCTCCAGAAATCCCGAGGAATAAAGGGGTAGGTGGTGGTATTTGGCCCCTTGTATCTAATTATTGTTTTAGAAAACTCTGATGGAAAGGAGGGAGAAAAGCCTCATGCAAAAACCTAGGCTTCTATTCTAGCCTTCTTGGGGAAGGTGGGCTAGACCTCCTTAAAAGCCATTATTTGAAGAGCAAGAGGCTCTTTGCAGAAGGAAAAAGTCTCTCTGCTTACTGTGGAGTCCTGGGACCCTTTAAGATTCAAGTTGTGTCAAGAAAAACTGGGATGATTCTGTCTTTACTTGACTGACTTTGTTATACAAGCAAAAGAGATTGAGAAAGAGAGAGACACACACACACACACACAGAGACAGACACAGAGAAAGGGAAGAAAGGAGGGAGAGGAAAAGGAAGCAAAGGAGAAGGGAGGGAGGGAGAGAAGGAGGAGAGAGAGGAGGAAGAAAAGGAGGAAGGGAGGGAGGAAGAGAAGGAAGGAGGAGAGAGAGGAAGAAGAAAAGGAGGAAGGGAGGGAGAGAAGGAAGGAAGCGAATGGAAGGAGGAGGAGGAGGAGGAACACAGCCTTATAATGATATCCTTTAATCTTTACTGCAGTTTAGTCAGTGGGCAAGGCTGATAATGACAATAGCCACAGCAGCAGTAATATTATTTAACATGAAGCAAATAGTGAAGGGGAAATGGTAATGCTGGAATGGACTCTCCATGTCTCTAGACATCTCTCAGAGTCTCGGGGGAAGCATTAAGGCATCTGGCTTGGAAAAGAGAATCTCAGAGGTAAGAAAGTCCTCCACTGAGTGGTGTCCAGGTTTAGGACAGGACTAGGCTGCCTGTGCCTTTGGGTTCACCCGGGCCTCTGTGCTGTACAAGCGGCTTTTTATTTCGGGACACAGCGCCACCTACTGCTATCCTGCAGTACCTGCAAGGATTCAGCCCTGGCCAGTCGCCCCGCCTTCCCCACTGAACCTATTATAAGAGGAAAAACTCAAAGGGTCTGATACCCTTTCCAAGCATTGTGGATTTATTCAGTACTTCCTACTGATTCTCCATGACCTTTGTCTCAGCACCAACGTTTTGTTTCCTGTTTTGCAGAGAATCTTTGGAAAGGGCTAGGCAGTGCTGCAGGACCAATTGGTTGGGGTGGGGGCTTTAGGGATGGTTCGGGAAGCTGCACTCTCAGACCCCTGATCAGACCAGAGTGTCTGAAGCAATCTGTTCCCCAGATTACTTGTATTTAATACACAATGCATCATAAAACAAATCTCTCATCCTGACAGGAAGAAAATAGAACAGCTCATAGCTCGAGCCAGTCCAATTTATGGCTAAATTAAAAAAAAAAAAAAAAAAAAAAAAAGCTCCGACAATGGGCAAGTTGAGGAAGGGCAGGAAATCAATGCAGCAAAAGCCAGGGCTCCTAAAGGTTCCCAAGCCTGAACTCTCTGGGAATATCTGACAAGCTTTAGGTTATTTACAAAGGATTTTTTCCTGTCTTACCTACCACTGCTGTGAGATTTTCCTTCAAACAATGGCCATTATCTGAGGTAACAGTTCAATGTCACAGACAACAGCCCCCCCCCCATTGAATTAGTCATTTTCTGTCCCCCCCTTCTGTTACTATTTTTGTTTTTCAATCACTATTTTTGGGGAAATGCAGGTCTATTAGGATTTCAGGATTACTGGCACTTGGACAAAACAAAAAGTGAGTTTCACTCCTGTGGCCCCTTTTACAGATAAAAGTTTAATATCAACACATCCTGGGCCTGCTTGCTGGCTCCTGCTTTCCAGATTTAGGAAAGTGCCCCTGTATCTGAGCACTTGGTAACTTTCTATTGTTGATTTGGGAAAAAGTTAGGTTTTGTCCATTTGCTTTTATGAATGGAGTTTTCTCATCAAAAGCATACATTCCCATTTAACCACCTTATTAAACTAAAGTCATCCAAGCTTGTCTGCAAGTAAACACATGGATGCTTCATTTTTGCCATTCCTTCCCTGTGTTCTTTTCCCAGTGCCATTTCTGCATTGTATTGCTCAAAGTTCTCCAAATGTATCTTATAATGTTATCAAACATATGAAATATTAATCACTCAAAGGAGCATTTATGATATCAAAAGTTTAAGAATAATTGTAGTTATCAAATTGCTTAATTCCACTTTTGGACATTCATAGTGTCTTAATGTATCAAAGAAAATAGCACAAATTTGCCAGGCAGTCCTCCATCTCCCTAAACCCAGAGTTATATAAATAATGTTTCAGATTTTAAAAAAATTGTTTTCTGAGAAAAAATTATTCTGACATAACTATAAACATGGAAGGAATAAATTTGTGTAGAAATTTCAATTATATTTTATTTTAAAATATGCTTAACAAAAGCCTGGAAAGGTCTGTCAACTTTCCACTCTTGAGGTTCTTGTCTAGAACTTTCTGAACTAATTACTTTCAGTGTGAACCAATGTCTCTTTATCCCCTGTTATTCTAGGTCCTCTACAGCGCCCCCACCCCCCCACCCTCTACCCAGGCAGCTCAGTGAGCCACCCTCACACCTCCAAAAGGACTTCACACCACCCCATCATCCCTCCCATCCCCCCCAAAACATACACACACACACACACACACACACACACACACACACACTTGTGCTCAATGTGCTCAGGACATAGAAACCAAAGAGATTTCCCTGGAGAAAACAAACCCTGCTTGCAGAAATCTCCCCATTGGTTGTTTATCAGGAGAAATCTACATGTTTCTGTTTCGAGGGATGGCGCATCCATAATCAGTCTGTCCCTATAGGACTTGGGTCTTGGCGACCTTTTTGTGACCTCTCCCGCCAGAGGAGGCTGCTGTCACTTTAAAAATTTACTCAAAGAGGAGCTCTGGCTTCCGACCACTCTGGGCGGCCTGCAGGAGATAGCTCCCTTTCTCCCTCGCCCCGGGTTCTTTCTGGATGGCCGAGCAGATCCTCTTTAAAGAGACAGTTCATGAAATAGAAACCCGGCGTCTGAGCTCCGAGTCTCCAAAGGGACTGGGACAAGCCGGTGAGGGTCTGGACTGGGGAAGGCTGAGGATCCGAAGGGGCGAAAGCTGCGCAGCCCCCCTCCCCACCTTCGCAGACCCCCCCTCCTCCTGCTGGTCTTCCCCTGGAGCTGGGAGCAGAAGTGGAAGAAGTTTTAGTGGGTTTCAGATAACTTTCATTACACACCCGCCTGATAAGAGGGAGAGAAAGTGAGGAAAGAGGGAGGCGGTGTGAGGCAGAAGGATTAGCTGCCTGGTCATTTAGGAAGAAGGGGAAAAAAAACCCAAACACACCCAACCCGGGTTACCCAGACGCGAGAAGATTGCATTTGGGGTCTTAAAATACACTGTTGGCGGACAATAAATCCGAAACGCGTGGCCCGGCGAACAGCTCCCAGAGAAGGACAAAGTTATCACAGACCCATTTGGAAATCCAGACGCAAGGCTTTATTGTTTTTGTTTTTTTCACTTAAAAAAAAAATCTCGAAATGTTGCTGGGTATCGTTTGAAAGGATTTTCCGCACAGGAGTGCTGGGGGTTGCTGCTGATTTTATTTTGTTTATTTTAATTCTGCTGTGATTGTTTTTTATTGCTGAGTTGAGGCCATAGAAATCGGAAGGTAAGCGAACTCATTTAAAGAAAAAAGTCTTGGCTCTGGGGAGGGTGTCGCTGGGGACGGTCCTGGGTCTGTCCTGGCTGGGGTGGGTCAGACCCTGGCTAAGCTAAGCTGAGCAGCAAAGGAAGGTCGGGTTCCTGGGAGCAGGCTCCTCTGGCCTTGGTGGGTCTCCCTGGCCGGCTGGCTGTCGGCCTCTTCCTCTGCTCTCCTGTCCTCCTTCCCCTCCCTCGGCTGGTCTGTCGGTCAGGTTCGGGGACGCTGAAGGTGGGGTTGCCAAAAAGTTGAATTCCTGGCACCAGCCACGCGACTTGGAAGTGGCTTTCGGCGGAGTTCCACCTTGCCAAGTAACAGCTCCGCTGGCCAGCAGCATGTGCTGCCTGAGAGCAAGTCACATTCGGATCCTTTGGCTACATGGTGGGATTTTTTTTTTCCCCCTTTTCATTTTGCTGTTGGTCTTTTTTTTTTTGAAAGGGCCTTTTTTTAAAGGCCACCTAAAGGAATTATTATTACTTGAGCTATCTTAGAGCTTGACAGCTTTTAAAAACACAGGACTGTTTTGGATGGGATGAGAAAAGATGCTTTCTTTATTTTACCCCATATTTCTGATGTGATTAAGACATTTGGGAGACAAATGTAGTTCTGCTAGCAAATCAAAAGCGAATAATTCACCCAGGGGGGGTGAGGGGAAAAACGTTCCTGAAGAAAGTTAGGCTTTCTGTCTTGGGGCAGGAATCCCAGAGAGTAAGAAAGTTAATATGTTGGTGAAATTTTTGAATAATTGTGTAACAGATTATGAAAAAAAAGACGTTCTTTGGAAATGAATCTTTGTAAAAATTAGCTTTCGCTGTTGACAGAGGCAATGGTAGCAACCTTAGCACGAAGTAAAATTACACCTAGAATTTTGTGTGTGCTGTATGTAGTCCTTAACTCTTCTCCCTGTACCCCTGCTTGAAAGCTGAGGGTGTAGATGATTCTTGACTTTGAAATGAGCAAGTTTTCCATGTCTTTCCGCAAATATCAACTGGAAGTGGTGTAGCATTTCAGCGGCGTCTCCCTATTTCCTTTATGAAATATTTCTCTGGTGTGTCAGTTGGTGACCAGCTTTCCCCCACTCTTTTTCTTACTAGTCAAGAAAGAAAAACAACACAACACCAAATTAATAAACAGAACTTAACAAGCTCATTTCTAAACCTATTTTAAGTGTGTGCTGCTTATTTGCCTATTTTGTACCTGGGAAAGGAAAAAAATCTCAAGTTGGCACATGAGTTGTTCAGTCCTAAGACTCGAAGAAACATCTTAATTTGTAATTCTGTAAATAATAATTTATTAAAAATTGTCCTCCATATTTAAGTGCCAACTTTCTGTTAGTGTTAAGAAATGTTTTTTAAAAAGATATGGCAGGAGGGCAATTACTGTCTTGTATTACTATTTTTCCCTTTTGAATCATGGGCCCACTTATGCCCTTCAGTGGCCCCATGGTCAAGGGCTTATTCAAAGTGCACTTGACTAGAACCCTCTGAGTACTGACTTCTTGAAGTTTATGGTGAGTTAATGACTTGAATCTGCAAATGGGTGATTACTTGAGTTCTGTACGAAACTGATTTGATCTGTATACCCAGCAGTTTAGTGTTAACTTCTAAGTAGAGAGGGCCACAAAGAGTTCTGTGGGGGTTATTTAATTCATTAATTTTCATTCTAGACTATATTGTTTAGTCTATGATAGCAAAACTTCCTCAAAGTTTGCATTAACTGATTGACATAACATTACCAGCCTTTGTAATTCCTCCCAGGACTCCACAGCTTTAATATTGATCAGGCCAAAGGCTCCACAGCTTTTAATATTGATACTTAACAAATTATTGATATTAATCAATCAGAGTGTCTGAAACCTTAAAACTAAAAGTTTTTTTGTTTCATCCTATGTTTCCTAAGTGTCATAAGAAATTTTAATATTTGATATAGACCAAATGCCAAATCTGTTGAAAATATCAAAACAGTGATAGATAGTGTTGAGCATATATGACAATATTCTTAGATCTTTTTGGACTTGTCTACAATCAGTTTTGCTGATTTTCTTACTGAACATAATGTGTACACATGCACTGGCATGTGTTAATTAAACTTTAGGTTGTCATATTTTGCGTGTGTGTGTGTGTGTGTATATATGTGTGTGTATACCACTGTATACATGTGGAGGCCAGAGAACAACTTTTAGGAGTAAGATCTCTCCTTCTGCTATATGGATTCTGGGGATGGAATTCAGGTTGTCAGGCTCGGTGGCAAGTGCCCTTACCTGCTGAGCATCTCTTTGGCCGTTACTTTCCTTTGCAACAACATATAGGGTAACTCATTAAGTTTTTCATTTCAAATAAAGAGCAAAGAGTTGTTTAGTGCAAGAATGTCCCTTGTGATATTGGCATTCCTTATTGACAGCCTTGTCTCTGGCTTTGTCCTTTGCAAAACCCATGTTACTGTGAAAAACTCACCAATAGTCCCTCCTTTTATTAAGCATTAGCTCTGTTTCCTTACTTTAACTACAGCCAAGTCATTCCCTGAAGACTGCATGTCCAAAGCATCTCCTCTAGTAGGATTTTTCCTAATGTAGTCTTTGGACCAAGAGAAAGGTGGTATGGGTATAATTCTTGCTTCCTATTGCTGTTGCCAGACTCTTCTTGCTCTAACCACTCTGCCACTTTTCAAATTTTATTTATTTTTTTAATTTTATGTGTATGAGTGTATTGCCTGCATGCAGGTAGGTGCACCATGTCATGCAATACCTGCAGAGGTCAAACGATGACATCTGATCCCCTGGAACTGAAGTTACAGATGGTTTTTAGCTGCCATGTGGGTACTGGGAATCAAATCTGGGTTCTCTGCTAGAACAGTCAGTGCTCCTAACCACTGACCCATCTCTCCAGCCCCAAGTCCAGGCTTCTTGGCCGATGCACCAAGCACAGAATTCGTCCGTTTGCTCCTGAGTCACCGTTTCACCACTTTCATTGGTTTTTCTTTAGTTTCAGAAGTAGGTATGAAACAATTTACCTTCAACGTAGAGTGTAATTTTATGGTGAGGAAATGTAAAGTAGTAAAAAGGAATTTAATAATATTTAGATGAAAGTTTTTAATTGAATTAAAGTGCCAAAATGTGAAAATACATACCCACACGAGGAGACCATCCAGAGCTACAGTATTGACGGCTGAATTATCCAAACCCAAATACTGAATGTTTGGTGTAGAAATATTATGTTAATACATTTCTTCAGTGTTACCTTTTGGTAAAAAACACATTGGACAAAATTAAGTCGATGCATTTGTTCATGAATAATAAAGAAACAAGCTTGCTTTGAAACCAAATAATCGGTTTTTGTGATAAGTGACAATTGCTTTGTTCTTTAAAAAAGCACTACCAGGAAAACTTCTGAGTTCTCCTTTTATAGTATCATGTTGTCTGACCTTTTTCTTGTAAAGATCCAAAAGAAGACTATAGGTCTCAATGAGATACTTTCAAGCAGCTGACCACTTTCAGGAATGGACTGGTATGGCCATTTATTGTCTCCTCATCTTCCTCCTTCCAGATCTTAGATGAGTTTTGCAATGTGAAGTTCTGCTTAGATGCCAGCCAACCAGATGTAGGAAGCTGGCTCAAGTACATCAGGTTTGCCGGCTGTTATGATCAGCACAACCTCGTTGCATGCCAGATAAATGATCAGGTATGTGGTCAAGATTTTCTTGTCTTTCTTTGAGAACACTAAAGTATCAGTGAAGCTAGAAGAATAAAAGTAACAGCACTAGACCCTGGTGGCCTGTTTGTTGATATGGGGAAAGGTAATGCAAAGAGGAGATGCAGAGCGCAGCCATTCACAATGCCACTTTCTTTCACTGATGTTTGGTAATTTATTCACTTTGTCTTAGTGCTCTTCATAAATGCTCCAGTTTTCATAAGTTGATGGAATGATTTAAAAGCTAAATACTTGTTTACGGTTTACATTTCTTTACCAACACAGAATGTACATTCAAAGGAAATATTGAGCTGATCAAAAAACAATGTGGGAATCTTCGCATATTTTGCAAGTGATATATTTGAAATGTTATATAATTTTATTTGAAATATGTATGTTATTGGTGAAGATTTAGGAGATTATCCATTTTATGTTGATTTTCCTAAATAACATGAGAAGTTTTAGTCTTTGAATAATCAAAATACTCTTTTAAGTATATGTAAAAGTTTAGTTATCAGTACTGCAAATTGTTTTGTGACATTATGGAAGACCAAACAGTGAAACTGAATTTATGAACACTAACCATGAAATAAAATCACAACAATATCATGAACTTATTTTACACTTGACAAAATTGTGAATCTTGTAGCTTCTCTTGAAGGTGCCTGAAATAACAAGAGATTCATACTGTTAATTTCTGTTTTATAAGTATCAGTGAGTCAAAATGTATCATCATTTATTTATCATCATTTATTACTTTTAACCAGTAGCGACTTAAATAAAATGTTTCCAAGACCATTTTGAAATGGTGGCTTGGCAAATCCACTAGATAATTACCACCAAGAAAAAGAAAAGTTTAAATTAGATGGTTCCAATTGAAAGCTGTTAAATAAAGCTAGCATCATATGGCCCAAGACTCTCAATCATCGTTATGAGATTATTCTTTGGCATTTTACCAGCTACCAGATAATTTTTACTGGCTAAACTAAACATGAGGTAGTAAATTGTAAAATTACATTTAAATGGGAATCATTTTAAAATCTTTAACATATATCACAGAAATAATAAACCAATCAATTGGGTTTTCTCCTTGCTGTTAGAAAACAAGAGGTATTATTGACAAAGGAAAATATTATTAAATTAGCTATTGATTGCAAGCAGAAAATATCCCAGCTCCATCTTAGGAGTTACTCTTATCCCCAGCAGCACACATTTTTTGAGTACTTATTGTACACAGATGTGGGAAATGGATAGATGTTATAAGGGAATAAACTGTATTATTTTTCTTAAGAAAGAAACTGGAGGACCTTAATTATCTTTATAAAAGAGAATAATATAATTGTATCATAATGATTATTTGCTGGTCATATTTACTGACAATAGAAATGATTTCCCAAGTCATCTAAAATTATTATAGAATCAGTGAAAATATGATTTAAGAATTCAAGTGATAGCCAATTCAAGGGCACTTGTAGCCACTTTTGCAATGAATGTTTACGTGTCTCATGTTTTATAATAAATATGCTTTTGTTGTTGTGAAGCTTGATTGCATTAAAAAGGGATGCTCTTTGCCATTTCTAGCTATGAACCAGTTGCTCGTTATAGTCAGCATTTGTAATTTTACCAATTAGTTTGAAAGCCCACATTATATAAAGGCATTGTTTCCAAAAGAAAATAGACATGTCTTATACCTAATGAGTATCATGTTTCCTTATTCTCATTGAAGAGCCAGGGAAAATAATTAATGATGAAAGACACAGAAGGCCAAATTAGATAAGTATTTATCATTTCTTTAACTATTCATTGACTCATTAGTATAACATTTTAAACTGCTATGTTATGCTAGCAGAAATTTAAGATGGTTACAGAGTGCATATTAAATAACATAATTTTGAAATTGATATTATGGTCAAGTAAGTTTATCCATAAACATGAGAGAAAAATCAGAGATAAAAGTCAGATATGTGTAATAGGTTTGTGTGTAGAGAATTATACTTACATGAGATGACAAAAGAGGACAGACACCTAGTGTGTGCAGAGATTACAAGCATATTCACTTATAAGCTTATACGCATTTCCAAACTGTCAATCTAGATGAGCACTTCTGTCGAGCTTTAAAATATAAAGGTTGGACTAGGTACAATGATAAAAGAGCTGACTACAGAGAGTCTCTATGTCTGTTCATGCTGTCTCTTTTCCATGAGGAATAAAAGTTGCCAAATGGTGAAAGGCAGAACTCAACATGTTATGAACATCCCCCACTATGTTAGATGTTACTTCATATCCAGACATTGAGAGAAACCGTGGATCAAGGATAATTATTAAACATCAGTGACATCAGCTCACCTGCACAGCATTCATGCATAATGTTCTACAAGACATTGTACAATTTCTCCTCTCTGCCCTGATTCTCAGAAGGAGTTTAAGTTATTAGAAGAATTTTGATAACATGGTAGGTACCATGTCATGGATTCTTAAAAGGAAGAATTTTAGATGAGTCTTCCAACTGTGCTCTAGTCTGGGTGATGATTAAATCAACCAAGAAGGAGAAAAATTACCCAGTGCATATGAAGAGTGTGGGCATTATAGTTTGTTTTTTGTGAAGGCAGATATTTAAAGAAAAATTTAATGAATGAAGGTAAAGCTCAGTGCATTTAGGTAAGCTTTATAACATTGTGCAGAGGATCTATAAAGGAAAATAAATATGTGTGCTAAGATGACAAAGTTGTTGGACAGTAGTGGGACTATCAAAACAAGTATTCTGGGTAAAACCTGTGTTAAACTGATTTGGAGTGAATTTTCATTTTTAAGTAATGGTAATAAAGAATGCAATCTGATTTATGTCAGAAAAATAGAAACAAGGACCACTCAACTAACCATTTCCCATTACATTTTTCTAAGCACTTTATTTAAAATGGTTTTCCTCTGTTTAAACTTTCCAACAGATTTTTTTTGAGTGAATTACTTAATTTGAGATATTTCATACCAGAATGTGCTTTGAAAAAGCAGCTTTCTTGACACGGTTGCCTAGAAAAATTGAGGTCTTGTGAGTTTAGATGTCTTTTCACTTCACATTCTCAAAATTATTGTTGCAATGTTTTTGGAGATAGATGTTCTAGAAAGGCTGGCACTGTTGCTGAAGCATAATTTCTAAGTTGCTGGAGCTTATGGTTGATGCTGTATTCCCCCAATTGAAAGTACCAATTTAACTCTAATAACTTACCTTTGTAAAAGAAGGCCATACCAAAGACACCAGCAGATTGACCACAATCACACTCAACTCATAAAATAGTAGATCCATTAAAACCACCCAAGCTTATTTTTTCCCATATTCTTTAAAGTTTTTTTATAGTTTTACACAGCTTTACTGTGGATGACCAGCATTCCATTAAAACCACCCAAGCTTATTTTTTTCCCATATTCTTTAAAGTTTTTTTATAGTTTTACACAGCTTTACTGTGGATGACCAGCATTTAGTTATACATTTTGACTGAGACAGACAATACTACCTTTTATATCTGGCCAATTTGAAATTGTCTTGGGTTGCTCACAGGAGCAATAAGTGGCTCTGAGAGGCCAGTTGCAAACTAGAAGCTGTTCCAAGCTAGATCCTCAAGGAGACCAAATATGCAGAGGATGCTTCAAAGAAGTTTACCAGTTATTCAGAGTTTTCATTTATACCCGGAAGCACCTATGTATTTAAAGTCAAGCAGTCCAAACATCTAAATGATTTACTGATACTTTAAGAGAAATTCCTGTTCTTTTGCTATATTTCCTTTGAAGTATTATAGATATCTTACATTTACAAAGTATTTTGTTTGGGGGTATAGCATATCCTTGAGACTTGGTCTCACCTCATTTTTGCATCTCCTCCCATCCTTTGATAAACCCCCTCTTTAACCTACCTGTCTATAGCCTTTATCATAAATCAAAGGCCAGCCTACCTGTAGGCCATCTAGTATCTTTGAACAATGACTATTCTCACCTTTGAATATATTTACAAGTTTTATGTACTTATGGAACACCTGTACTTTGAGACTTGTTTATAGTGAAACTCTTTTGCCTACAAAGAGGGAGGTCATTATGGCACCATCCATGTGACCTTTCAGATTAAAACCAAGCCTGTCTTTCCATCGTGACAACCAGAATGATCTGGGCATGTGCTGCAGGATAATATTTTATATATGTGTGATTATTCTGCATCATGAGAAGGAACATAATTTCATTCAAACTCCTGGCTTGCCCTAACATGGTTTTCAAATGGAGGAAAGCCCTCAGAAACCCAAGACATTATTAATTTTGTCATTTATACAAGCTGATAAGTTCCTTCATTTTTAGACAGGCCCTTGACAGCTGGTATTTAATGTAGGGCCAGAGAAATCTGCTGTTGCCCCTGAATCAAAAGAAATGTTTCAATAAGAGATTATCTAATGCCTGATGTATATTTTGAAGAAATGAGGTAGAGAAGAATGTGTACCCAAAGGGAACACACAGTCAGAATTCACTTGGGGGACTCTCTCAGCTCCCTGGTGGCTAATGAGTGGCAGTGAGACTCTGCAGTGTTTTCAGTTGGAACAGGCGTTGCTCTCATTTGCGTTTTACCTTATAAACTTTTAACTGCTTCCAGGACTATTGAGGCTGATTTGGCACACCCGCTTCCCCTCTCCTCAGGCCCACATGAGTGATGCTATCAGACTGTGTGACACTAGAACAGGGTTGTTATTGCAAGCTTATTATGTGCTCAATCATTAACTTATTTTCTTAGGCTTTTTACTGAGGAGGAAAAAACAGTCCTCTCTCCTGCACCACTCACTTAATGCACATGTTGTGAACACAGGAGTGTAAATCAGTTGTATACACCAAAAGTGGAATTCTTTACCTCTTCCCACCTTTTAAATATGTTTGCCTCCGTCGTCAGGTAATTTAGTTTCTCTTCCTTTACAAGGATTTCTGTCCACATTTTGTATGACTTTTTTTGATGTTAAAAGTTA